GCCACGCTCTGATGGAATGAAAGACTCTGAACAGGGAACCAGCACAAGCCTCTCCACTCTGGGGTTTCTGTCAGGCATTTGTCCCAACACTAACAAAACTAACATAAGAAATGTTACTTCAACAGGGTGTGGTGATGCATGCCTTTAATCCAAGCAAGCACTCATGAGCCAGAGGCAGGCGTATCTCTGTGAGTTCCGGGATAGCCTGGTCTACATGACAAGATCCAGGCCAACTGGAGATATATAGTGAGGTCTTGTCTCAAAACATAAAATAAGCAAAAACAGAGCAAGAATGGGGAGGAGAAGGGAGAGAGAGAGAGAGAGAGAGAGAGAGAGAGAGAGAGAGAGAGAGAGAGAAGGAGAGAGAGAAAATTTGCTTAAAAGACTGAATTCTTTTTTTTTTTTTTTATTCAGATTTCCAGTCTCGGCCTGGACAGCAACCAGGAAGAATTATTACCCTAATGGACAAGAGAGACCCTTTCATCTTTTGAGTCACCTTTGGAACAAAGCGCAGACAGTCACCCACACACTTGGTGACACTCCACTTGCTGCTCCTCTGACTGTATCCCTGGAATCACTGACTTTGTCTCTGCCATGCATAGTGTGCCTGCCCCAGTGACCCTGGTACTTCTCCAACTCATGGGTCCCCAGGGTCTGGACTTGAGTTAGACATACATGGCAGTGCCTATCAGTTACACAGATGACTTGCTGCTATAGAATATTGTTTTAAGATGCATTGTTTTTTTTTATGCTGGGGAATATTTCTTTAATGATGCAAAGATGTGTTGCATTCTTTTATGTCACATTTATTTAACTCTGTGTAGCTGTGTTTCTTTGCCTACCTAAAACATCTGGCTGTTCTAATAAAGATCTGAACGGCCAAAAGTAAAACAGAAGAAAGGATAGGCAGGGCTGGCAGGCAGGGAGAATAAATAGGAGAAATCTGGGAGGAGGAAGAGAAGCAAGAGAAAAGGAGAGGAGAATGCTGGGGGCAGCTGCCAGTCATCCAGCTGGCCATGGAGTAGGAGTGAAAGTAAGAGACACAGAAGTAAGAAGAGGAAAAAGCCCACTGTTGTAAAAGGGGAGCAGGATGCTTTTCGTCCTGCCCGGCTCCTGGCCGCCTGGCTAGCTTTACCCGAAATAATTACATGGAAACTGTATTCATTTAAACACTGCCTGGCTCATTGTCTCCAGCCCCTTATTGGCTGACTCTCACATCTTGATTCAACCCATTTCTAATAATCTGTATCACCACTTGACTATGGCTTACTGGCATGAGTCTAACCAGCATCCATCTCAGAGAGGAGAGCCATGGCGTCTGCCTGACTCTGCTTCTTTCTCCCAGCATTCTGTTCAGTCTACTCCACCTATCTAAATTCTGCCCTATCAAAAAGCCAAGGAAGTTTCTTTATTTGACCAATGAAAGCAACACATAGAAAGAAGATCCTCCTACACCAGCCCAAAGACAAAAGGTAGATGGGAGAATTTAAGTTTAAGAAAGCTGGCTAGCATTAACCCAAGCTAAGGCCTGGCTTTCCTAAGTAACAATAAGCCTCCATGTGTATTTATTTGGGAACTGGGTGACAGGCCCCGCAAAGTGTAAAGAGTAATGAAACAACCACCCCTACCTGACTGTCTTCATAGCCACAGGGTTGGCAGCAGGAGGCAGGAACGTGAGGCCCTGCATCTTTCGGGTGCTCGGACTCTCCTAGCACCTCACTGTGTAGCTCACAGCGCAGCTCATCTTCAACTTTGGCTCCTGTTCTGATGCATACAGTCATGCTTCTAACTCATCTGCCCACTAAACACTCAATCCTCTTACTCACGTGGCCAATCTCCCACCTCTACCCAGGTTCGCTTCCCCTCTCTGCTCTCATCCGCCAACTTAGTTAGTCATCACTTCTGCATCCAGCCTTACTCAATCCTCTCATCACCCCACTAGTCAACCTTCTATTCAGACACCCTCCATCCATAGCCCCGCCCATCCCACTGCTAACTACTATGTATTGGATCTTAAATGTCCCCCCAAAGCGAGCACGCTGAATGAAGCCTTGCTCACTTGACACTATTTGGAAGCCTTAGGAGATGGGAATCTAGTTGGAGGAATAAGTGTATTGGACTTAAGTCTTATGTCCTTTAGGGACATACTGATGCTGTTGTCCTTTTCTTTCTGCTTCCCAGCTGCCATGAAAAGGAAGTGGGCAGATTTCTTAGCTCCACCACGTGTTTCCCACCATGATGGTCTGCTTCCAGACAGGCCCAGACCAATGAGTCCAATCAACTATGGACTGAAACAGTCACAACAAAATTTCCCTTCTTTTAATTACAAATATCTTATTTAGAATGTGTTTTTTTTTTAAAAAATACAAAGACCTTATTCTGTGTGTATGTGCGTGTATGCATGTGTGTGTACATGAGCATGTGCTTGTGTGTGTGTGTGCACAGATACATAAGTAGTCCAGATGACAATATTTAGGAGTCAGCTTTTTTTTTTTCTACCATGTGGATTCCTGGGGTTCAACTTCAGGTCATCGGGTCTAGCAGCAGGGACTTTTATATCCTGAGTTATTTCACAATCGCAGGTTTCCCTCCTCTTAGTTGAGTATGCTAAATATTTTGCCACAGCAACAAAAAGCTGACCAACCTTATATTCTGTTCAGCCTACTTCGCCCAGCTGTTCATCCATCCAACCATCCGCAATCCGTGCACTCATGCATCCAGATACCCCCACGTTCCTTTCCTCTTTTTCTACTCATCCAAATCCTCCAGTCTATCACTCTGCCTGACACCACCTACCCGTGTGTCTGCCTACATGCCTACCGGTTGCCCTGCCTATCTTGCTCAAACAGAGAAATGTACTGAGAGTTTATTCCGAACCTCCTCATGTTTTTTAAGGACCAGTGGCTAGACATTGACCTGTCTACTGGATCTCAGAGCCTATTTGGGAGAACAGATGTGCACGTTAACAATTCAGTTTGATGCACTAGGAACAATGCAGGGAGGGAGTCATCCATGCCAAGTCCTGGTCTGATGAAGCAGCATGAGTTGTTGGATATGGGTCAGTGTGTCTTGGTCCTCCCTGAATCACTCTTTCTGAGCAGAAGATGTGTCCTAGAACAGAGGTATATGAAGGCCATGGCCTTCAATGAGAGTAGAAGAAGGAACGAAAGGCAAGGACCCAGGTGTGTCCTAACCAACGTGTTCCATTAATTAAGTTAGAAGGAATCCAAACCTAGGTCGCAGAGACATAAATTTCAAATCATCTACTTGGAAAAGGACACTTATGTGTGTTAACATACAACTCAGACAGATCAGACAGAATGTGGTAGAACAACCAGGACATGTTTAACTTTTTTCTGAGAGTTGAAGGAAGAAAGCAGACTTAGCTGGGGGTCCTGGGGACACTGGGAAGTTTGTTGGCTGTGGTTTTTCAGCCTGCCTCTATGGCATACATCACTTTTATCCCCTATTGATTAGTATTCTAGCTGTTACCTTCAAGTCTACGAAGTATTAGAGCCACATCACCATGAGAAGATTCCCTAGTGGTCTCCGGTGGAGACACACTTGTGCCCTGGAATTCTGTCGCTCACAGTCTCACATTGGATGACATCTGCCAGGATCTTCCCTTCTCTGGGCTACATCATTCCTGTCTACAAAATTAAATACCTCAGGGCCTTCCTGCCTAGGAACTAGAAAAATGGAGTTCACTCTTTCTGGCTGAGTTTGAGAGAATACAGAAGTATAAGAAGGTCAGGCTGACTTAAGACATCTTGGTTGTTTAGTGGAAATTCTGTTTCCCAGACTGGAGAACTAGGTCAATGGGGGAGTGTTTCCTAGTCTGTGCAGACCTGGATTTGACACCCAGCACCAAAAATAAATCTATTGTTCAGCATTTTTGCAGGATCATTCTTAGGTGGCATTATAAAGTTGCTGAGATGAAATTACCATGGGGGTTCTACCTGTTATCCCAAATTTTATGATCACATTATTATTTGATGATGAAACTGTGTACTCTGGCTGGCTGCTGTCTATCATGTGAAACAAGTTGAGGACAGTGATCTTCACAATATGTCGACAACCCAGCCAAAGAAAGTAGAATCCCTATTGTTAACACTGCCCTTCGCAGTGTCTCTCTCCCTTCCAGCCTGGGTTGAGCAGCTTGTACCATGGATGCATGCCTTATGAGGCGGGCGGCTGGTACTAGGGATGCATGCCTTATAAGGGGGGCGGCTGGTACCATGGATGCATACTTTATGAGGGGGCGGCTGGTACTATGCATGCATGCCTTACGAGGGGGGTGGCTGGTACCATGGATGCATGCCTTATGAGGGGGGTGGCTGGTACTATGCATGCCTTATGAGGGGGCAGGTGGTACTATGGATACATGCCTTATGGGGGGCGGCTGGTACTAGGCATGCATGCCTTATGGGGGGGAGCTGGTACTATGCATGCATGCCTTACGAGGGGGCAGCTCAGGTTTGCACCCTTCTTCTCCTGACAGCACACTTAGAATTCAGCAGCTCTGCAGTATCGTTGACCTTGATTCAGCTGCTGTCTCTCAGATCGGTGTCTTTCATTTCAGTGTCTCCTCAGACAACAGACTCTGTGTCACGTGGTGGAGGCTCCCTATGGTCTGTAACATTCAACAACACTGTGGCAAACACTATCAAAAGACTCTGATATCAGCCTGATTTCCCCCACAATTCCCTACTCTCTGACCTTCGGAGAAGGAGCAGGGAACACAGAGACCATGGGTTTCCCACAGGAGTAAATGTTATATACTAACATGAAGAGATACCAAGACAATACAGACACTGTCAGAGACAAATGGAAGGGTGTGTTCATTAGACAGATGTCTTAGAAAGGATCAAACGAATGGGAAAGAGGGCATTCCACACAACTTTGAGTTATCAAGATGAAGACCTAAGGGTGGCATTTCCTCTTAATGTAGCATAGGCAGTGTAGAGCACACTTTTCTCACTACTCTGGTTGGTCAGAAGGCTAGCCCTATATAGTCCAAGCAGCAAGGGCATAGTAAGATGTGGACTTTCTCCATAGATGTGGGCTGTGAATGTCATTAGCTCTACTTATGATCTCAAGAACTTGGTGTTCCCAGCAAGATAGTAGGTGACTGGCTTTGCTCCAGCTTGACAGCCGAGGTAGACTCTCGAGAGAATCAGCTGGGCTAAAAAAGCCAGACAATTCCATGGTCTAGAACCAACAGCCAGGCCAGTCCCTCACCAGAATGAAGTTTTCTGGATTTCTGAGCATTCTCGTGCTGTTTGGCCTGTTTGCAAATATCCAGGGACCTGGCCTGACTGACTTGCTGTTTCCCAGTAAGTACTGGTTTTCTGCTGTTGTCTGGGAGAAAGGGAAGACCAGGATCAGTTCCTCAGGTTCCGATTGCCTTTCTGTATCTTCTCCCTGGACGTGACATGGGAGAGGAAGGAGACACTTACAAGGTCTCTTCCGTGTGGTGTCCTTTGTGTTACTCCAGGGACAAGGGTCTGAGAAAACACTCCCTAAAGGGCCTTTGAAGAGGTGTCTTCTTTGGGGAGAAGAATCATGGATCCAGCATTTATGGAAAGAGCCCTCAGCTCTCAAGTTCCTTTGTCGGGAACTCTAGGGTCCGAATTGGTGGGTTGAATGCTGGTAGCTAGGAGGTCTTGAGAAAAATATTTAAATTTCATGTAGGCTCTCTGAAACTTGATTTCTTCATTTTAAGAGAATTTTGGCCCTAAGCTTTGTGACAAAGACACGGGGCGGAGAGAGCAGCGTCTTGCCTGGCAGCTGCTCTGCCGTCGTTATGTAGTAGGTGTTGTATTTGCTGTCTCACTAATCCTCGTCACAGCTCCGTGAGGGTAAGTCCTAGCAACATCCCTATTTTATCCTTTTAATTTAAAAAAGATAGTTTTTAAACATTAAAATACAGTATCATTTTCCCTCTTCCTTCTCCTCCCTCCAATTCCTCTCATGTACCCTCCCCCTACACACAGCCTTTCGAAATAATGGTCTCTTTTTCTTTAATCTCTGTTGTTATATGCATATCACTGTGTGTGTGGTGTTTATGGTGTGTGTGTGTTTGAGTGTGTGTGTTTCTGTGTATGTGCCTAAATAAATAAATACACAATGCTGGGTCTGTTTAGTGTTTCTTGTTTATATGTGATTTCAGGGCTGAATACTGGTATTGGATAAGCAATTAGGGGGCTCTTCCCTGGGAAAGACTTTTTCTCCTGCTCTCAGCATCCCTTAGTTGCATGTAGCTCTTTGTCCAATTCCCCTCTTTAAAGATGAGGAAACTAGAAGACATAGGATTTAAATAATTTGCCCAGGATTACACGGCTACCAGCATTCAACTTACCAAATATTTTTCTAAGGTAATATTTTTGTTAATCCATTGCAAATTTTATGCAGTGTATTTATGATCATGTTTATTCTCCCCCACACATTCATCCCCGTAGAGTTAGAATTCCAAAACCCAGCCGTGGCTGCGGAGGAATCGCTGTACAACGTCGCCCTCCAGAGGAACTTACAAACAAGGCTACAGCAAGACTGACTAGTTAGAACAGCCTAAGGTAGCGCTCTAGGCGAGGGGGTTTTGCTCCCAGAGAGGCCTTCCCCGAGTCTTGAGACAGTTCCAGTTGTTAGGATATGGAGGAGGTGCTTCGGATGTCTAGTGCCTAGAAGTCAAGGTTGTTGCTAAAGGTCCTACAAAGCACAAGGCAGTTTCCACAGCCAACAGGTGATTATCCAGTCTAAATACCACCAGTGGTTGAAAATGTCTGCTCCCGCGGCTTGGGGTAGACCAAGGACGGAGGGAAGAAGGGAGAGAGTGGGGGTGTTTGAAGAGGTTCGGGGTGTAGTGTGGGAAACACGAGTGAGGGAAAGGATTCCTCCAGGGTGAACGAACTTGAACATATGCTTCCCTGAACCCCGCAAACTGAAAGCCCCAAGACTCAAAGACTGCCTCCTCCTTAGGGAGATGTCCCCGATTCAGAGAGCGCTGCGAACTCAAAGAAAGGGACCTGTGCTCCAGGGACAGGGATTGCCAGAGGAAAGAGAAGTGCTGTGTCTTCAACTGCGGAAAGAAATGTGTAGACCCCCAACAAGGTAACACCACAAGCCTTCTACCCACGGCTCCTCTCCTGCCCACCTGGGCTGCCATTGCCACGGCTCACTGAGGGGTTGTATTTAGGTAAGGTTGATGGATTTAGGGTCTTGCGATTTAGATTTGTTACAGTTCCTGATGTGGTGTGTGGCAGTGATGTTCTTATCCCAGCAGGTAATGTGAGAGCCTCGGTTTTCCCCAAATAAATGATGGGTGCATGAGTGGGATTGAATCAAACTATTTCTTTTTCTTTCTTTTTTTTTGTTTTGTTTTGTTTTTTGTTTTTCAAGACAGGGTTTCTCTATAGCTTTGGAGCCTATCCTGGAACTAGCTCTTGTAGAACAGGCTTGTCTTGAACTCTCAGAGATCCTCCTGCCTCTGCCTCCCGAGTGCTGGGATTAAAGGTGTGCGCCACCACCGCCTGACTAAACTGTTTCTGGATGATTTTTCACTGCCATAATTTTCTGAGTCCCCACCTGGCCATTGTCATCCTAACATATGCTCACATTATCAGTGACAAGCAAAGCGATTTATCTTCCTAACTTTTGACTGCTAATCAGTTGCCTCTCTGTCCATATAAATTGGACTACATACTAGGAAACATGCCTTGACATTCCAGACCAGAGCTGCAATTTCAACTCTGGCTCTACCACCTCTCTGGACTCCCAAAAGGCTATCCGAAAGAGAGTCTTCATTTCTTTCTTACTTTTTTTTTTTTAGAGTGAGATTGAAATATTTATTCAGGGGGCTATAAAGGGGAAGGGGGAAAGAGAGAGAGAGAGAGAGAGAGAGAGAGAGAGAAACGGGGAGACGCGTGCAACCCCGAGAGAGGACTGTAAGTCGAGTCTTCATTTCTTTAGAAATAGTTACAGAGTGTTTCAGATGCCCACTTTTTCAGTTCATTTTGTGTTAATAAAATGTACGAGACAGGTTAATTATGAAGAAAAGGGGTTTATTTAAGTCAGTTTTTGAGGCTGGGACCACACATCACGGCAGGGAGTAGCATAGACCTCATAGGAGATAATGGGCGGGAAAGGGCACACAGTCAACGGAAACCAAGAGGGGCTTAGGGTTCTACAATCATTTTGAAGGACATGTTCCAGTTAATCTGGGAGTCTTCCAAGAGACCTCTTGAAGGTACCATAACCCTGTCGACCAAGACTTGAGGGGGACACACATAATCGTTCTCAGACCACAGTGTCTGTAATAGCACCCAACTTGTTCAGTGTTGTCAGGGCTACTACAAAAAGCCTCGGGGTAAACAAACTCAGAGTTGAGTGCAGAATAAAGAGTAGCAGTAAAAGTGAGGCTGATGAGGCTCACCAGGGAGTGGCTTGCAAAGACCTCGGTGGGGGATCCCAGGGAGGCAGAGTGAGCATGACCCTAGTCACTTGGAAAGGCCTTTTGTGTGTTCGGATCATATGGTCCCAGTCTGATGGGCTCGAAGAAAGACTCTCATCTTAATCCCAAGAACCACAGGCTCGAAGATCATCTTATTCCTGAGAACCAGAGCTGGAAGACGAAGAAAAAGCAAGCAATGGCGTGACCAATATGTGTGACCCTCCAGAGCGTGGGAGGGTGACTGGAGGGCTTCCTAGAAAGGGGAAGTGATGGATTCAACCAGAGACAGCGCAGTGAAGGAAAGAGCGGGTGGCATTTGGAAAGTACCGAGGAGTGTGGGATGCGTCAGCATAGTAGAGTGGGCAGACAAGGTGACATGTCAGGGTCTGACTCCAGACTTCCTAAATTGGATCTCAGATCCAGTTTTTAGCGTCTTTTTAAAAATCTTGAACAAATAAATAATTTTTTTTTCTGTGTGCCTCCATTTCTTTACATGATGAAAGGGTTCATGCCAACGACTCTTTAGCTCCCTTAGAGTTCTCAGAGCAATGCCAGACACAGGGGAGAGCCACCTGAGGCCCATTAGTTTAAACGGTTCATCTTCCTGGCTTGAGAACTCAACAGGAGTGATCATGTGTCTTTTCTGTCTCTGAAAGCATCCAGCAAATGGTAGGTATGCAGGAATGATTTACTCAGTTCTAGTCAGGGTACACCTTCTCCTCTAACGCTCCATAAAGCTCTGTACCATGCCAGCCCGCCTGCTGGGCATCAGAACCCCCAAAGGAAAGCAGACATAATCCCTGAGCACTGGAAATTCGGAATCCCAGGAACAAGACTGGAGACATTTTTAAGAATGTCTTAAAAACCCAAGCTTCAAAACCAAGATAGGGAAATGCGGGCTTGACTCAGGCAGCTGTCATGCGGTGGGATACGGCGTGGAGTTAAGAGTCATCGCAGAGGAACTGATTTTTGATAAAGACTTCCGAAGAAAGAATAAGCATTCTGCTAGCAGCAATGGTGCGGATGGTTGTACAGCTGTATGGCGGCGCAATGGAGCAAGGTGTGCTGACTTGAAAATCGCCTTAGCATGGGGCTCGACAGGATCCCTCGACAGAAGAGGCCAGAACCAGGCACAGAAGCCAGAAGACGAAGGACCTTGTGCGTGACAGAAGAATCTTGTCGTGAAGCCGAGGTCTTAACACACGGCCTGACATGATCAGTTTGTTTTCAAATCCATTCGCTCCTCCTCCCTGGTGATCAGAAGAGCATTTCGTGGCATCTTTTCTCTCCGTCCACTTTTTCATGGGCTGTGGGATGGAACTCAGGTCCTCTGGCTTACATACTAAGTGCCTATATCTCCCTGGCTCATGAGTGAGAACTTAATTACACATCTCTATTAATATCTGGTGGCTTGGTGGCAATTTTTGGCATCCCATGACTTGTAGGTATATCATTCTGATCTCCACTTTCAAGTCCACACGGTATCCTCCCTGTGTGTGCATCTCTGTCCAAACTCACTCCTTCCATGTTCCAATATGCAACCACCTCAATTGATTGTGTCGACAGGCCGAAGACACCGTTCAATAATACAGCACTTGCCTAGCATGCATGAGGTCTCCAGTCTATTCTCAGTATCCCCAAAACTAGGGCACGGAGGGTGTCACCTGTGAGGTAATTCTTTCACCATGCTGTGACAAAACACCCAACAGAAACAACTAATGTACAAAAGGTTTCTTTTGGTTCATGACTTTAAAAGGCCTCTTATGACACCTTGGAAACAGCATAGTGGAGTTTGTGGTGTCGGAAGCATGTGGTGGAGAAGGGGGGCTAGGCTTAGGAACCGGCTTAGGAACTGGGCTTTGGCTATAACCTTGAAAAGCCCTCCCTTAGTGACCCACTTCCTCCAGCCAGGTTCCACCTCCTAACAGGTCCCACAGCATGCACCCACAAATTATCATCCCCCAAAATGACAAGTGTTCAAAATGTAAGTTTGTGGGGAGACATTTCATGTTCAAACCATAAGCACCAGCAAAGATCCGACCTCTGGGGATGTAGATACTCACCATCATGTCTCCCAGCAAGCAGGTGCAGTGTATGTGTGGTGCTGAACCCCTAGAGTGTGAGAAGACAGCGGCTTCACAGTGGCTCTCGGGGAAAGGAATGGCATTGTTCTGTTTTGGGTCACATACTCTTGAGTTCTCAACCCTGGGCTCTCTCTGCAGATATCTGCAGCCTTCCCAAGGACTCGGGCTACTGCTTGGCTTATTTCCCTCGTTGGTTTTATAATAAAGAAAACAGCACGTGCCAACTCTTCATCTACGGCGGCTGCCAGGGAAACAACAACAACTTCCAATCTCAAAGTCTGTGCCAGAACATCTGCCAAAAAAAAAGTGAGTCTTGGAGGCGCCACCTAACATCCCCGCCAGGGCCATCTGGGAGGTGTGGGTTGGCCTGTCCCAAAGCAGCTAGGTCCTTCACAGACCTGGCAGAATTAGATCTGATCAGGATCTGGGGAGGGTTGATCTGATCAGGATCTGGGGGAGAATTGATCTAATCAGGAGCTGGGGAGGGTTGATCTAATCAGGATCTGGGGAGGGTTGGGGGAGGACAGGACGGTACTGTGGCCCTCTGGAAACTGGAGGTGGGAAGGTATGGGGGAGTTAGCAAACAAAAAGGGATTTTTCCATTTAGGGGGGTGGAAGGGGATGTAGAAGGGTCCCAAAGACCAACTGCAAAATGATCAGTGTCCAGCCCCACCCGGGAACGCTGGCCAGGGAACCATCCCAGGCCAGCAACTTCTTCACCCCATTTTGCCAGCAATCCAATTCTGTCCGTTTTTCCTTGAAAGAACAAAATGACTGGTTTTAATATGCTTTGGAGTTCGCATACAAAGTAATAAGTTTCGTTATATTTTTACCCCTAGATGTTTGCACTTTGCTTACACCCAACCGCCATCGACAAATCCCACTTTGAATCCCCTCCCCTGGAAAGATGTAGAGACATGACTCAGACTCCAGAGGTAAACTGAGCCCAAGATTCTCAGTTCTATCTTGTATCTGTGTTCTCAACAGGCTCTTCCCCCTGAATAGGGGACATGCTGCAAAAAAACATCAGGATTTGGCTTCTGCTCCAAGCTCTGTATACCTGCTGGCTCCTCCAGAATGGTTTCTGGTGACTGCTCCAGGCATTCCAAGGCGTTAGGTCTTCCCAACATTGAACCCCAGGATGCCTCCCCTCCCACCATCTCCAGTCCCTAATTATAATACCTTCCCTTAGGATCCCCTAACAGCGCCTCGACTGCTCAGCTCTACCGGCACGTAAACTCCCTGTTTATGTCCGTGTAGCCCTCAACTTTATTCAGTAAAGTATTTGGCTTCACCCTGTGCCTCTGAGACTGGGTAATTCACACATCTTCAGTGTGGGGAGAATGAGGAAATGGGAAAGCTTCTGGTGACATCACTCAAGGGCTTGTGGACACCACATCCTTAAAAACTGGGAAGCCAAGGGATCTTGTTTTGTTTTGTTTTGTTTTCTCCTCTGTCTAAGGTCAGTGGGTAGTGACTCTAGGACAAAGGAAGGGGTATCTTTGGGAAATTCCCCCTAGAAACACTAGATGGAGACTGTGGCAGGTGACTCACAGGGAGAGGGGTGTATACGGCAGCAGGAACTGTTGCTGCCGCACCTCAACATACTTGGTTCCCAGCCAATAACCTGCAACAGCAAACGTGTTCCAGCGCACACTTTTTTCCATCTAATTTTTTTTTAAATTGCTGTATTTTAAATTGGTTGCTGCTGGGAATGGTAACACACTCCCATTAGGTATATTTTAGAGAGTCATGTGAACCAATAAAACATACCTCCAAATTTTCCTCGTCTGTCTCCAGTAACAGGGGTGCTGATACTGGTCCAGTGGTCCCCCATTGTCCCTGGATGACTGAGGCATTCAACCCCGCATCCACATTCCAGAATGTTCCACATTCAAGTTGAGTAGGCTCCAAGGGATCCAAAAAAAAAAAATTGTGGGTCAGAAAGTAGAGTGAAACTTTGGCATACGACAGGATGCAATTCAACCACAAGAATGGGGAACTAACACAGTGTTCTGCTGTGGGTGAGCATACACTGGTGGCTGGGGACGTGGCTTAGAGCGTGCCACACAGGCGTGAGTTCCTGAGTTCAAATCCCCAGAACCCATATAAAACCAGGCAGGGTAGCACATACCTGTAATTACAGTGCTTCTTCATTGAGATGGGCACAGAAGATGGAGGAATCGCAGAAGCTTGTGGATCAGCTGTCCTGGAGAATATGCAGAGTGGGGGCAGGGCCTGGGCAACAAGGATACCTTGCCTTAAACAAGGTAGAAGAGGAAATCCTACATCAGAGATTGTCCATAGGAACACACACACACACACACACACACACACAGAGAGAGAGAGAGAGAGAGAGAGAGAGAGAGAACTGTGTAATTCCATTTACACGAAATATCTAGAATAGGAGTTGGGCATGGTGGTTCAGGCCTGTATTCACAGATACTCAGGAAGCAGAGGCAGGAGGATTACAGGTTATCTTGCCTAGGCAAGATAGTAGAAGCCTGCATGAATTTTTTAAAATAAAAAAAATAAATAAAAAAAAGGAAAAAGACGGCTAGATTAGGAATGTAGCTCAGGAATGTAGCTTGTTGGTGTGAGGCCCTGGACTGAAACCCCACCATGGGCAAAGAAAAACACAGCAGGAAACAGTCTGAGAGGCTGGAGGGATCGGAGGCTAGAGAGTGATTGCTCATGGGATGAGGTTTACAGCTAGAGTGATAAAAACACTTTGGAGCCAGTAGATATGGCCCACAGACATGTGAACGTGCTAACGAGAGAAGATAAATTCCATATTTGGAAAAGGCTGATTCCTTCCTGGAGGAATTCGGCCACAGGTGTTTGAGATGCACGCCATGGAAACAGCTCTTACAGCTGCAGGTGGAGTCCTAGGTGAGTCAAGTGGAGCTGGCTGCAGCCAGCATCCCTGCCTCAGTCTCCCATTGCACTGCTCACATGTGTCCACACTGCGTCCACTCCCTCACTAATGCTCCAAGACCTGAGTGGAGGGAATATTCCAGAACTATCAGAGAGCCTCTTGGTCCCCCCTGCAGTTGACTCTGAGCCACTGCTTCCCATGGCCTCTGCTAACCTGCTCTTGGGGCACAGGCCCTCAGAGCCACTACTTTCCTGCCTTCAAGACGCCCTCACCTATCCAGATGCTCACCAGGAACCTTAGGTTTGTGCCCACCTAACAGTCTTTACTCTTGGATGGTGGCAGAAGAAGACAAGTGGGTCAAAAACAAGAGAGAGAAAAACCAAAGAGAGTTGAAGGGTAAGGGGACAGAGACTCGGGCAGAGTCATTGAAAATGAGAAAAAGGACACACAGGGCAAAAACACAGATAATTAGGCCAGAGAGGGAGACAAGATGTAGCCAAGGCAGGATGTAGCTCGACTGATTTAATGCTGGCCTAGCATGCCTGAAGCCCCCAGCCTCAGTCCCACATAAACCGGGGGAGGTGATGCAGGTCTGTAATCCCGGCACTGGGGAGGTGATGCA